GCCGTTAGTTTCTCGAACAGTAACAGTTCGACTGGCGCTGCTTTATATCTTGATACAAAGTACTTGTTCGTACGTGAGCGAGTTGAGGAAAATAAACTTTGTATTGAGCATATAAGTACTAAGAATATGCTTGCGGATCCGATGACTAAAGGTCTCCCTCCTAAGATTTTCGAAGAACATGTTTCGAAGATGGGGTTTTCTAAAGACCTTATTTAGTTGCATATTGTACTTGCTTACATTTAATAATAAAATTTCCTCATTGTTTTGTTTGTTTGTCTCTGAATGTGTCTATGCATGCCTAAAGACATATAGACAACATTTATATACAAAATAATGTTATGGGCTTAATTGTCAATTTGATCCTTAGCTTATTTAAGTTTTAAATTTGGTATTGTAGTATGATTAATGGGGGTCTTGAATTGAATATTGATTCAATGACTGTATTTCTCTGCTACAATTTCGGTTTAAAACTAAAATGAGTATTAAAATCTGATCAGACTTATCTAATACTCATCATAAATGATTACTCGGCCAAGTGGGAGAATGTTAGACACGATTTTATTATGTGGCTTGAGTTATCATTTATCTAATTAATTGATCATTGACTTAATTGGTAATTATTCGATGGACGTAATTACTCTTATGACCTAATTAGGGTTTCCCCTTGGGTGTATATATAGAGGTCATTAGGCAGAGATCAGAACACACCAATCTTACGCCTCCTCTCTGCCTCTTTATTCTCGTGAGTCTCATTCTCACCTTAGCCATCATAACGATACACCCTAAACGGGAACTCGATCTGCGTGAGAATCATGGCCTCATCCCTAACTATGTTTACAGGATTATCAGGTATACATGATTAAATCCCTAATTTATATTTTATGTTTAAGAATTGATCAACATGGATTACACTAGGTGATCAAAACACAAAACTTTTCCATGCATGGCTCAAAAAGAAGAAACTACAAAATCATATTACAGAAATGACCAATGTAGAAGGGGAAGTTAAGGAAGGAAAGGAAGAAGTTGCTATGGTATTGATTGCTTACTTCTTGAAACAGTTGGGTGAGAAGGTTGACATTGATTATATAAAGTTGGAGGTTGTAAAGATGGGGAACACCTTATCCATTGAACAATAATTGATGTAAATCAAAACAGTATCTGTTGAGGAAATAAGAGAGAGCTTTTTCAGCATCTCAGTTCACAAAAGTCCAGGTCCAGATGGATATGGGAGTAGAATTTTCAAGAGTCAATGGCATAAAATGGGGGATCTGGTCACTAAAGCTATAATGGGGTTCTTTGAGAAAGATGAAACTCTGAAACAAATCAATGCCACCAACATCATAGTCATCCCCAAAAAAGAGAATCCCAATAGCCCTGTTAATTTAAGACCAATAGCATGCTGCAATGTACTATATAAAGCTATAGCTAAAATCATATGTGGGAGACTGAAGAAAGTGCTGCCAAGTCTGGTCAATTTAAATCAAGGTGCTTTTGTTGAAGGAAGGGAACTAGTCCACAATGTTCCATTATGCCAAGAATTGACTAGGGGATATAAAAGGAAAGGTGTATCCCCAAGATGCTTGATGAAGCTAGATATCCAAAAGGCGTATGATAATGTAAGCTGGAAAGTCATTGAACAAATACTACATCAATTCAAATTCCCATCCAAATTCTCCAAATGGATAAGGTACTGTATATCTACTACTACATATTCCATACATTTGGAAGGAGAAAGCTTTGGATTCTTTAAAGGAGAAAAGGGCTTGAGACAAGGAGATCCTATATCACCTCTTTTGTTTGTCCTCATAATGGAATATCTTACAAGAACATTCCATTATTATGGAAGCAAAGAGGGATTCCATTATCATCCAATGTGCAAGTCTCTGAAGATCATCAACTTAGTGTTTGCTGACGATCTTATTGTGGTCTGAAAAGCTGAGAAAGAATCTGTAAAGGTATCATGAAGGCATTGGAGCACTTTAAAAGTACAACTCGGCTCCAGATGATTCCCTTAAAATAAAAAATTCCGTTTGGAGGGATTAACCAGTCATTGGAGGAGTAGCTACTGCAAATTACCAACATGAGGAAGGGCTCTCTACCCTTCAGATACCTAGGGAGCCCTATTACTTCAGCAAGAATCAGTGACAAAGAATGTGACAGGCTTATTGTAACACCCTAACCTGCGTGACCCGAATTCAAAGACCAGCGGATCGGGTTGCTACTAAATTGGTATTCAGAAACAATAATTTTCAAAACAATTTAAAAACATTTAATTCAAAACATTATTTAAATATCCATCGGAGTTAACAAAACGGTTCGGAAGCCTTTAAGTACATACTCAAAATACAACCTTGGGTTCTTTCCCTTTAAAACATACTCCCTCCGTCCCGGAAAACATGAGAGTTTTAATTTTGAAGAGGGATTTAATGGGAGTGTATTTTGGTATTGAATTTCCAAAAATATCCTTTGATGTGATGGGTAAAATTATGATTTGATGGATAGATTATTAGTAAAAAGGTATGATGTGATAGGTAGGGTATGAAAAAGTAAGGGGTAAAAGTGACTTTTAAATAAAAATGAGAAGTGTTTTTTGGAACGGATGAAAAAAGAAAGGGGAAATGTTTTCAGGGACGGAGGGAGTAAATAATTCAAACTTAAGTATTAAATAATAAACTACTCCAGCTAACATCCATCGACCTCTCTGCCCTCGCTGCCCTCCTGGATAGTTCCTTATTTAGCATTGATGTTACCTACGTGTAGCAAATAGGAAAAAGGGCTACACGCTCAGTATTGAAGCTAAGTGAGAACTATCTAATGTTTCGACTACGCACATAGACGAACCCACTAGCTCATAACTTCATACAATATCAAGCACACAAGTATACAGTATAATATCACATAACAGCCTTTAAATAAATTCACAAGTCACAAATCATTACCTTATTTCCTCTTTATTCATAGCTCATAACATAATTACCAGGCCAAGACCATACTTTCTTAGTTATAACATAATGTTCGGACTTAGAGCCACTACCTACGGCCATGACTCAAGTCTACCTTATTTAGCACCTTATGACACAACACAACCTGATGACCAACGAAGGAGTTCTCCGTTGGGTGGGTGGTACCCCTGTCCCCTTCGGAACGACAGTTCCTGGATCCCGTGCGTACGTTTTAACCCCTAGGTAGCCTACTCATTTACTTACAACATCCCTATAATTCAAACTTATTCCAACATCCATCTCAATTCCTTATTTACTTCCAAATTATTGCAGGATTATATTTAATTACAACTAGATGGATAACAATAATCAGATAACCAATCATATAACTCAATTAGTGGCCTAGTGTCGAGTGTAACCAATGTTCTGAAAACTGGACTGGACGTCGACCCGGACGAGGTATTGGGTCAAGGGTTGATTGGTCGAAACGGTCAAACCGGGGGTCAACGACTTGGTCAAACAATGTTTATAATAATAATATTTTATATTATATATAAGATAAAAAATTTAATTTGTTTTTTATTTTTCCATCTAGCTTTTAATATCCCTGTGGATATGCTATTTCAAAACACCTTTTATTTTGTATTCGATTATTTTTATTATTATTAAAAATTGATAATGAATTTCTAATAAATATTTAAATAATTGGGCGATACACATATTCTCAAAAAGTAAAGACTAGATAGTGTATTGTTTTATACTATTGACATTTTAAACTTTATATTTGGTCGAATAAAATGATTGGAAAAAAGTTAGGATACTAAATTATAAATACTAAATATTACTTGAGTTTTAAAAATAACAACAATTTTCAAGTATTAAATTTACAGTGTATATTTGATTTTGAAAAAAATTAAATAATTCTTAATTTTTTGAAAATATTTAAAAATTTTATAAAGTGAATAAAATATAAATGCACACTTGCAAACAAAAACCTACTTGTATTAGTTTATTTTTTATATCACATATGTAAAGTGGTATATAAAAATAAAAAGCAGATTTTGGTCCAAACCCGTGAACCAGTCGGATCAACCCGGGTCACCCGGTTCTTCGGGTCTGACGGGTTTCTACGGGTCAATTGAAAACTGGGTTTATCAATTGGATAGGACCGGATATGTGACTGGGTCATGGTCCAACCGGTTGGACCGGCCGGTCCGGTCCAGTTTCTAAAACACTGTGTAACACCTTCCACTTACCGTCATGCAAATCCCACAAATTTGAGGTAAGAAAACGTACCTGGTCATCCTTGTTCAATCAACTCCAACAGTAATTTAATTATAATCAAATAAACCACGTAATCAATCATACGAAATTACGAATGTGAATTTCAAATCTATACACGAAATCTAGCGTTAGATGTGCAAGTTCTGACCTTGAATTCGACGTATTTAACAAAGTAGATCAATGATTCAATCGATGGAGAAGATGGCAGAGCAGCGGCGCTGGTCACGGTGGCAACACGGCGGGGTGGAGGTTCTATTTCCGGTGACTGAAACAGCGGCGGAGCAGCTGCGACCGGCTACGTACTCGGCAGCGGTCTTCCTCCCTCTCCAGTCCGGCTTCTGTCCTCTATGCGTGCGGCGTGCGTGATCCTCAATTATTGCGTAGGGATTATGATAATAAACTCCGTTTCGTGGTGCGTGACCGGTAGATTTAGGAAATTTAATTTTTTTATTATTTTATTATTAAATTCTTTATATTTATTTATTGAACTGTAACTTCTATTTTACTCATCACGCTTTACACGTAAATCCAATTATGACAAACTATATACCGTTGGTCACCATTTTACGAGATCTACCCGAACACCTAATTTTTATTTAAAACGGATAACTTTACGAATAATTCATATTTTTGAGTAATAAATACTATATTTATAACGCCTAACTACTAAGCCGGTTTTTGGGTCATTACACTTATTGAGAAAATGACAGCAAATATAACAACTTGGGCTACCAGACACTTATCATATGCTAGGAAAGTAAACCTAATCAACACTATTTTGTTTGGTATTGTAAATTTCTGGAACAGGATCTTTCTAATTCCCTCAAAAGTGATGAAGAAGATTCAAGCATTATGCAGGAATTTCCTATGGAGCTCCTCTATAGAACATAAAAAAAACACCCCCTGGTGGCTTGGGAAGAGGTCTGTTTACCTAAAACATTTGGTGGATTGGGGATTAAGAATTTAGACCAGTGGAACAAGGCAAGCATCATGAGGTTGATATATGACATTGAGCAATAGAAGGAAAGTCTATGGATCAAATGGGTACATCGCAGATATCTGAAAGAGAGCACAATCTGGGAGTGTGTAGCCAAGAGTGATTCTTGTTCTTACTGGAAGAAACTACTTAAGATGAGGAGCACCTTTGCAGGGATGACAACAGTTGGACGATACTCCACAAAGCAGGGCTACACATGGATCCAAGGGGAACAAAGGGAACCATACTGGACTGCTGTGTTTCGTCATCTTTTAGATGTACCATATTTTGATGCTAAATTATATGAATTCAATGTGGAAATCTCTTGCTCGGTACAAGATTTGGTTCGTGATCCTTCAATTACATTAAGTCAAATTTCCCTCTAGTTAACAAGTTTCAAAACAAAGATGATGAAAGCTATAAGGAATCTTTTCGGCGCTCCACTTGCTCCACCAGATCTGGCCCCTACAACCACTTTACACAACCCCACATCTTATAGCATTGAATCTGTTGACCGCACTATTGTTGATTCAATGAGTGTTCCTGAAATTGATGATAATGATGTTTCTATTAAAGCTGTTGTTCATGTCTTTCCATCAGATCTCATAGATGTTGACACACCCGTAGCTGCATCAGGTACTGGAGAAGCTGTAAAGGATCAAACATTGAGCAATGTCATCATTGCATATAGCTCTATGCCTCTGTCCAAAATAGCCCAGGTAGCAGATGCAAATTATATGAAAGCGGACAACTCACAGTCATTGGATATCATCGAGAATCCTGGCCATGCTAATATAATTGAGTTTAGGTACCGGATCCCGCCGCGTGTAGTTATGATCATGTCATCAAGTGGCTATAATCTTTGGGTCAACATTTTCTCTCTAGTCCAGAAGCATGAGTGGGAGCCACCACCTTGAGGACAAGGTGGTTTTCTAAGGGGGTGAGAGTGTTATGGATTATATAGTAGGATATCTAATCATATATTTATTAGTTTATTATTATTATTATTATTATTATTATTATATTGTAATCTAGGTTTTACTAGGTGAGTGAAATTATAAGCTCCTTCGAGATTTCTTTACGGTTCTTTCCCTCGTCGCTTTTATTGAAGCGTCAGGTTAGGTTTAGGGTTAGCTAGGGTTTCTTTGTCTCCTATATATAGAGATGTAACACCTTTAGATTAATCAATCAATATAACAAATCAAAATCCTAATTCCTTCTCCCCTCGGTTCGCCGATTCGCTCATTCGCCCCAAAGCTTCTTCTTCCTCCTCGTCTCATATTCTCAAGAGCTTGAAGATGCTTCGAGTCTTCTCTATCCGATACGAGTTCGTATCATGCTGTTGTATGGAACAAATATTCCATACCAAAACATAAGGTTATTATGTGGCTCATATGCAAGGATAGAATACAGACAAAGGTGAGACTGAGCAAATTTTTTCCCATTAATACAACTTGTATGTTCTGTGAAAAAAGGGAGGACTGTCAACACCTTTATTTTTGTCAATGCATATATGCTCGAGGGATATATCAACAGGTTTATGCTAGAAGTGGATATACAATCTAAGGGGGACATGGAAAGAGATGCTGGATAACTTGAGTAAGATCACACCCAATAAAAGAAGGTGGAAGATGATGGCCTATTTTGCAGCAAGTGTGTATGCAATATGGAAGGCCAGGAATTGGAAAATATACAGGAATACTAATATAACAGTTGAAGAAACGACACAATGGATTATTCATCATACTCACGTTTTCATGCAAGCTAAAGGAGTTCTATAGAGATTAAATTTTGATTGTTTTTTTGGTTCTTCCCTGTTATTAGTTTGATACGGACATTGATGTACAAGATGCTTTATGTTAATATTATTTTGCATTCAATTAAAAAAAACTTATATAAAAACCGTTCTAAACAAAATAAACATTACTCAAGAAAATTTAAATGGAAGTTCTTTCCGTGAGTGTGCTCACGGTGGTAATTCACGCACTCACTATCTAAGAGGGATGGTATTCATTGTTAGTCACATAGTTTAATTTAATTTTAATTTTTTCGATTATTTTTATAATAAATTGTACTCTGTATTAAATTTGCATCACATATTTAATGTAACGCCCCAAAACATACCCTAATATTTAATGAATAATTATTCAATTAATCAAATTTGTTTTGATTAAAATAAATTGTTGTTGGGCTTTGAGCCGAAATAAAACATATATTGATATCCAATATCACAATCTGGATAAATCTTATAGAGATAAATCCAACATGTTGATTTATTGTGTGATCTTGATTGGGAACCTGAGTACAGACCCAAATTAAGAATAAATGAAGAAAGTGTTTATAATGTGAACTTTGAAATGATTTATTGAAATAAATCATGGGAATAAATAATATGAATTAAATGTGAGAACCTTTTTGAATAAAGGCCAATTTTGACTCTGTCAAAGTCAACCACCCAAAAATATGATGTCGGAAAAGTATAACGAATAAATTATATCGTTGGATAGAGTTTAATTGCACGATCGCAACGGCGCAAACGGAATTCAATTCGGAGAAAGTTGGACAAAAAGTGTACCCCGACTGGGACTAAAATTAGTCCCAATCAGGGACGGCGCCTCCTACTCCACTCAGCCGATGGAAAATACGTTCCTACGCAAATCCTACGCAGCATTGTTTGGTTTCTTCCTCTTCCTTCTCCTATGAAAGACTACCACAACTCCCTCCATTCTTCACCATTTCTTACAAAGTTTCATTCTATTCTGTTGCTGGGAGTGAGGAGAACGTGGTGGTGCTGTCGTATTGGTGTGAGGTCGCCGGAGTTGAGAGTAATCATCGCCGGAAGTTTCGCTGGAAAATTTCCAAAACCATCAATAAGCTTCGAGGTAAGCCCGTAGATATATCTAAAGATTAGAATGTTCATATAGGTTGTTTTTACGTTCATAAATGGTCATTTGGTTGAGTTTTGTGTTTGACATGTTTGAAGAACCAAGAATCATAAACCTTGAATTTGATGTTAAAAATATGTTTTAATGATTCTAAATTGATCTATGAACCTTGGAGAACATTTCTATATAGTTTAATTGAAGTTTGGTAACTAAAATTGATATTTCCGAAAATGGACCGAAGGTAGAAGACGATGAACAGTAACTGGCGGACCGATCCAGGAAGCTGGATCGATCACCGCAGTAGAAGAACTCTACTGGGTGGATCGATCATCTCCTGTGGATCGATCACCTGGAGAGAAATTGTGAAGAGGATCGATCCTCCAAGCTGGATCGATCACCCGACCTGTCTGCTCCGAAAATGCTTCTGAAAATGTTATTTTTGAACCCAAAAATCTTATTTTTGATACCAATTAATTATGAACAATATAATTATGATTTTGTACAAT